GGCTGTGTGTCTATAAAGGGAAAATTACCTGGCAGCATCTCTATCTAACTTGGTTCTTCTAAAATTATAGAATTTAAATCCTCTCCTTGAGTTTTCATAAGATCAGTAAGTCTCAGGATTAAGTGAAAATACGTGGAAATCAAGGATGAATCTGGAAAATGGATGGAGATTTGCAGTAGTTTGGCCTATGAAACATTTTATCTGGCCTCTAGTTAAAATGGGTGACACATTTAATAGCCCAGCCATGTGGCCAGTCCCGGGCTTGGAGGAGAAGCCGTATCAGCCACTGGGAGTTGTTTCTCCTGAAAATCTCTGCTGTTACAGTATCTTCAAATATGTTGGAGCCAAGTCTCCTTTCCCCACCCCACCTTTAGAAAGCTCTCCTTGATTCTTCCAGAGCTGCCTGTTAGAATAGTTGGAACTATAGAAAGTCCTCTTTCTAGTTGTCAAATCAATTTCACCTGATGTTTCTATTAAATCTGATATAGGCATCTGTAGAAAAAGGGAAAGGAGATGTTACCAGAGACCCCTGCAGTGGGTCCTGGTCTCCTGTGAGCCAATACCAGGTCTGCAAGATAGGAAAGTGGGAAATAAATATACAGAGACAGAGACTTGAGAGAAACTGAGCCTTGGGCTGATCCAACCTGCTCTGGGCAGCAAAGACAAAGGACTCCCAGGACATCCAATGTTTACTCATTACAAGTGTGGGAAGCGGGGTAGCTGGGCAGGCCTTGGGACACCCGCTGATGAAAAGTATTAAGCAGGAAGGACTGGAGAATGAGGGCACAAGCACATCTTTGCTGAGGAGAACGGATGGTTAATTCAGAGGGAAGGAATTTCTTTAGAGTCAGTTGACCTTGGCTGGGAGTGGACTTGGCCAAGCTCTGCTACTTCCATTGTAACACAGCTGAATTATGAGGGGCCGGAAGCTTGTGCCACTACAGCCTGCTAATCCTGGGCAGAGGTGCACACTGCAGGCGTCATCTAATGAGGCCGAAGCACGAGAAAGGTCAGTTTTACCAAGAAAAGAACGAATCTATTCATTTCACTAAGGCAAAAAATAAATTCAGATGCCCCCTTCTCTTTCCTTGTAGGTGTCATCCTGGGGGCGGTATGTGGAGGGCTTCTTCGCTTGGCCTCTCCCATCCACCCTGACGTGGTTATGTTGATAGCCTTCCCTGGGGACATACTCATGAGGATGCTGAAGATGCTCATTCTCCCTCTCATCATCTCCAGCCTGATCACAGGTAAGACTGCCTCTCTGGTGTCTCTCCAAGGGGAGGCATTGTCTTGTCCTGGCTTTCAGACGGACCGTGGACTCTGCATTCGGCCAAGTAAGTGAATGTGATCATCTCTGCCATTTCTCTTCACAGCTCTGGTTTCCCTCTCTCTAAAATGGGAGCAATCAACCCCAAAAGAAAAAAATTTCTTGCCATCTGCTAGTTGGTTCGTCTTTTGCTCTGACCACAAAAGATAAAAAGGAAACAGCCACTTGTTAAAGCTATATTGCTAGTGATTTCAATTTTTAATGTATACTTTGTAAATTTTCTAAGTTATGTTTTGTTCAGAAATGGATAAAGGTAACAAATGGAAAAGGACATTGTCTTTATTATTCAATCTGGCATGGAGAGTAGTGAGCACTAAAAATAAATGAAGTGTTAGAAATGAAATCCCTTTGACATTTTTAGGAGAAGGGTGGTCTCATGTGTAGCATCAGGCTTACTTATTTTGGCTAAAAGGATTAATTATTATAGGTAAAAGCATGTTTCCCCCTTGCCACAGGGTCATACTGTTAATTTTCTCCTTACCAAATAATAATGCTCGAGTAGGGCATTGGTGTGTGTTATGAGACTATCTCTTGAGTTGAAGATGTGAAGCTGGGCCTTGCTCCATATATGGGTGCCACTTAGCTGTGTGACCTTGAGAAGCTGCCCTCTGGACTGACTACCTTATGTAGGAGGTGAAGTTCCAATAACTCCAAGAGATTCAGATGTTCTTGTTTGTTCTAAAGTCCCATAGTTATCCTACCACTGAGTCCAGTGGCTGGAGTTTAGGATCAAGTGCTCAGGGGCTCACTGGGGTGTTATTGACCACCCCTAGGTTGAGTGAATCTGTGTTTTTGTCTCAAATGATTCCAAACCAAAGAAAATGTTCTCCACATTTGTTGAAGAGATTGTATGTAAGCTAAACTGGTTAGGATTAGACCATAGTTTGTAAAGAAAAGGAAGTCATATATGGGTCAGTTTCAGAGAAGTTAACATCAATGACTTTTCCCCCACAGCAAAGAGAATGGATCCCCAGAAAGAGGCTAAATCTCTCTCTGTCTAGTAAAAGAAGGAACTGAAATCAGGAAGTGGACAAATTGAAACAACAACTGGAAAAAAAAAAACCCAGCAAGGCTGGAGTTTTTGTGACTTGCTTGGAATTTCCTCTAACCTCTCTCAGTATAGATGAAGCACCACCTCTGGCAGCTGCCTTATGCACGTGTTTTCTGATTCCTGCATGAGACTGGGAAATGCGGAACATTATGCTTTGCCTCAGAGAGATGAGAGGGCTCTGCTGAGTCCTCATTCTCAGATTCTGCATGTCAGTGATTAGTGAGGTATTCAAAAGGCAGTTTGCGTCTCACATGGGTCTGCCAGCTTTTTATTTTCCTAAATCAGGACATGAAATAATGCTAATAAATGTGAGAAATTATACGTCCAGCACTGTCACTTTACAAAAGAAAGGATGCCATGATGAAAAGGACATCGTCTCACAATTAAAGCTGAAATATCTTTGACTTTAAGTCACTCTTGCAGACTGACAAAAATGTAGTGAACAACCAGTTGCAAACTCTGAGCCAGACAGTTGCCCGCTTTCCCTAGTTCTCAAGAATCTTAAAAATAAACAAGGAAGATAGCACTGTAAATTGTATAGTCGGTCAAGTATTTAGTACTAGATTTAGTTAACCATGCATGCATTCGAGTAAAAGGAAGCCAACGATTATAATCATGGAGAAACAGGTCATTAGCAGATACATCACAGAATTAATTCTTCTGGATTTCTTTTCAACCCAGGGTTGTCAGGCCTGGATGCCAAAGCCAGTGGTCGCTTAGGTACGAGAGCCATGATATATTATATGTCCACGACTGTGATTGCTGCTGTGCTGGGGGTTATCCTGGTCTTGGCCATCCACCCTGGGAATCCCAAACTCAAGAAACAGCTGGGACCTGGGAAGAAGAATGATGAAGTCTCTAGCCTGGATGCCTTCTTGGATCTTATTCGAAATCTCTTCCCAGAAAACCTGGTCCAAGCTTGTTTCCAACAGGTAATCTGAAGTTCTCGTGGGCCGTCTCCTCCAATCATCTAAGTTACTGAAGTGGTAGTTTAGACCACTCTGGGTAGCAGTCGTCTTCATATTTCATTATCTCTGTCTAGGCCCAGGGTTGTGTGACATGGTCTGGGATAGAAACTTGGCTTGGAATCTGTGGTATTTTTTTTAACTCCCCCTTTTTTTCCTGCTCACTTAATGACTCTTTGCTCTGAGATCTCCTTTCTTCCTCCTCTTCCTTTTCTTTTAGTTGCTATCTCTGAGTAACGCACAGGTACATTTTTATCCATTGTGCCTACAGCCCAATGAAATGCCCGATGGTGCTCAGTCTTGCAGTGTAGCAAAATTACATGTTGCACTTTACAAAAATATAACTATCCTATAGCATCAGAGTCTGTAACCTTCCAAAATGGATCTGAGATCTGGATATTTTTTTAAGTTGTAGATTTAAATAGTATGTGTGGACCTGAAAAGGCTGAATAGTAAAGAAGTACATAAAATAAAAATGAGAAGCTCCCACTCCCCCTCCAAGAGCTACTCATGTTGAGCATTTTGGTTCCTATCATGCATCATCTTTCCCGTGTATGCATGTGTGCCTGACCTCTAAAACAAATTCAACCCCAGCAGTATGACATCTTGCATACCGTGGTGCCTCTTGCTTTTCTCATGTAGCATTGTAAAGGGCTCGTTCTCTTTCTATTATCGTGTACTATGCCTAGAGAATAGTGAATTCCTAGAAGTGGAAATATCTTTTAAAAAGCTTTAGAATTTGTTGACTGTTGCAACACAGTACTATAGAAGTCATTGGCAGTGTACACCCCTACCAACTTCATAATGCACATGGATTTTTTTAACTCATGATTTTTAAAAACAAATGATTCCCTTGAGTAGAAAAGCTGAGTCAGCTGCCTGGCCCCATCACTGACGAGCCCATTTTCTGTTCCCACAGCAAGCTTGCATTAAAGCACACCTCAGTTCTCAGCAGCCCAGCTAGAGACTAAGCTAGATACAATGAGACTCCTCTAGCCACTTCCGGGAAATCACAGAAAAAAATTAATTTAGGAAACAAGCAGCTTAGAAGAAAGTCTGTATTCCCAGCTGCCCGAAAATGCAGTTGCCAACCTCTGCAGATCGCTTTGGGCCAGGATATGAGATCTGATTTTAAATATCATTTTACGAAAAAATGATGGTACTGGAAGTGATGGATATGCTCATTAACCTAATTTGATTATTACACAGTGTACACATGTATAGTGGAATATCACACGGTACCCTATAAATATGTACGGTTCTTACGACAACTAATAAACTAGAACTTCAGAACAGACTTAAATGCCATTTTGGTGGTACAGAGAGCATAGACCTGTATTAAAGGAAACTGTACTAGGCCAGGGAGTAGGATGAGGAGTGACGAGAAGGAGATGCAGAAAGGCGGTACTGCTGCAGCCCCCTCGGTATCATGTGCTTTTCTTTTTCTGCCAGCCAGAGTAGAAGGATGAAATCGCTTGTTGTGGGGCAACAGACCCAGTTGACTGCCAGGTATCTTCCTGGTGTTATAGAAAGCTCTCTGGAGCTGGAACTGCTGGGAGTGAACTAGAAGACTGAGGTTGGGAGGCCCTGGGAAGGACAGATCTGGATCTTCTGGCTTGGTCTCTTTATCTCAGTCCAAACACCTAGTAGGCAAGACCAAGAAGCAGCCAGGTGCTTGAGTGGTTGCTTGGGTCTTGGAGTGAGTTGGGGGATATTGGCCATGTTCACACTTGGGGACCTCTCTGTCGGTGGGCAATCTTTGCAGATAGCTGGTGGGCTGGGGATTTAGCTCAGTGGTTCTGGCGCCTGCCTAGCAAGAGGCAAGGGCCCGAATTCGATCCCTGATACAAAAAAAAAAAAAAAAAATGCTGCTCATGGCAAGGGACTCTGTCTGCAACCCTGGGATGGAGGACTGTGACATTCCCTGTACCACCCCCACCCTGGCTCTATCACTTCTCAGACAGAAGTTAAATGAGCATGGGGTCTTAGTCCCCCAGCTAAGCACAGTCAAGGTACCTTTGGGTTCAGACAGTCTGAGGAATGACAGTGTAGAATCAGTCCTCTGCCCAAGGTAAAGGTGGGTATGTATTCCTTAAACATGACACATAGGGTCTTAAAGAGGTGTAGAGGTGAGGAGTCCATTCTTACAGTGTCATGGCATGCCCAAAGGGAGAGCATACATAAGAAAGAAGTCACTTCCATGTCCCTGAGGTATGACAGGAAGTGACTTAAAGTCATCTCTCCTGAATGATGAGGGCTTTCTGACCAGAGTTAGCATCAAAGATGGAAAGAAGCTAAGCTGTCCCCAGAATGAATGCTGCCTCACCCGTGGTAGCAGAGCGTGGCTTGCCCACATCAGGTTCCTGGGTCTCTGAGAGCAGGGAGGGAGGCAGGAAATCCTGCTGCTTGCTGTTCAGTTGTACGGTTTCCAAGAGAGTAGCTGGCTGTAATGTGTGTCCTGACAGCATTAAATCAAGACCAGCAACAGAAACCACATGGGATCTTCTCCTCTGGGGAATTAATTCAGTGATTGGTGTGTTTGTTAGTTACTTTTCTCTACTTACTGAGACAATGACAGAAATACCCAACACCTAAAGTTAAAGGGGAAAGGGTGTTTTAGCTTACAGTTCATAGAAGTTCCAGTAAATAATCAGCTGGCTCCTCTCACAGAGGAGAAAAAACAGTTCATGGCACCCTCAAGGTAGCAAAAGCAGCAAGGAAACTTAGCAGCATCTTTCTGCCCCTTTTATTTTGCCCAGACTATTGGGTAAGGGCTGTGCCAAACCAACAGTGTACTGGTTTAGTAATCTCAGTATCACGCACTCTAGATTCAGCCACCTCTGAAAAAGCCACTTATGACTGCATGAGGCTTTGGGAGGACATCTAGACCCAAACCATAACAGTGTGTGTGTATATACCCAGCCACTATTTGTGAGTGCTTACTGACTGCTAGGCTCTTTTGCTTAGCAACAGATGCCACAAGGAATGACAAAGAGAAGGGCCCGTCCCCATGGAGCCTGTGTACATTTAAGAGGCAGGAGAGCCTGAAGCAAACTAGGTGAACACACAAGAAACTTAAAAACTGAGAACTAGAGGCAGGAAAAGGTTGGACTGAGTAGTAACAGGGAGAGATGTCTGAACAGAATGAATGAGGTCAGCGAAGAACTGGAGCAGAGCAGTTCTTTGAGCATTCTTTGAGCAGATTGGCAGAGGTTGGAAAGTATCTGGTATGCTCAAAGGAAAGAAGGGATGCTGGTATATGGAGAAAGAGTAGTCTTGAACGGAGAAAGGAAAATCCAGCTCAGGCCAAGCTCAGATTTGCATTCTTACTCTAAAAGGGCTCGAGTTAGGGAAATGACTGGTTCTGTTTTCTTAAAAAATCTAGCAGCTGTGGATAGAGAGGGGGCTATAAGTAGCCGTACTTTCCTACAGTTGGTAGGTAGACAAGCAGAAAGGTGGGTAGTAAGTTAGGAGGCTTTTGTAGAGTTTAAGGAGAGAGATGCTGGTGAATGGGATGTGGTAGACTCGAGCTGGAACCCAGATGGAGTTATATAACACTAACAGGGTCCGTGAATCCAAAATTTAGGTGAGGACTAGGCCTGGGTTCCAGTGTTCCAATCCCTTCAGCCTCAACGGAAACCCCTGTCCTGTGCTGTTTGGATGTTGGATTTTGGAGCCAAACAAATGATTTTGAACTTTGCTTCAGTAACTAAACCGCGGTCTACTCTTGGGTTAGAAATCTGCCCTTGGGTTAGTCACTGCTAAGAGGTAGTAGATATAAATAAAATCTGTAGCATGTGAGCTCTTACCTGAACTTGAAAGCCACATTTAGATCCATGATCATTTCTCCAGCTAACCTGAGCTTTGAATAGGTGGCCAGCTTTCTTCCCTGGGTGCATGACTCTGCTATACTTGTGATTTCCATTCTGATCATTCCTGTGCTGTCTTTTCATACCACTGCTGCCTATACTTTTGCACAGCTGACCCTGGGCATCCTTTCTGTGGCATCATTGCATGTGGCCAGGCTGGGACTGAGATACCTGTCTCATCTCCAAGAGCACTGCCTTTGTCATCTGGTTAGTTTGGCATTGCTGCCTGCTGGGCCCAGCTGCAGGAGAATGGAGTCCGCATAGTTTGCCATTCAATACAGGGAGTGAGAAGACCTTAGTAGCAGTCAAGCTGTTGGAGTTGAAGTCCCAGCTCTGCCAATGATTGTGACATCCACAAAGTCACTTGACTTCTCCATGCATCCTCTTCCATATCTATTCAGGGTTTGGCCATCTGTCACCTTCTACCTGCCAGTGCTGACATTCTAGGATTCTGCATGAATTCTATTTTAATATCTTTGGATAGGGTGGACTTGGGGGCTCAGATGTGAATTTTCACAGCAGTCTGCCTGCAGGGTGCCTGACACCTTTAAAAATAGGATCACCGCCATGGATATCGAGGAAGAGCGTGAGAGGTTCTTCGGGAGCCATCTGCAGGCTTGGAAAACATTGAAGGGTTGCTTGGTGTAGCTGCCCAGAACGAATGGGTATTTTCCAAATTGACACTTGGATCCAGAATACAAGCAAGTGCTCCTGCCATGGTGGCTGCTGCCACTGTCACACTTGTGCCCAAATGGAGATCCCAACAGAGCCCAGCTCTGGAAGGAGTCCAGACTGAGGATTGGCCTGCAGTCACAGTCCAGCAGGCTCACACAATTCTGAGGAACATCCAAGTGAGGCATTTAAAATTGTCCCTGAGGCACAGAGGTACAATCACGAGAATGAGAGGAAATGACATCCATTCCCCAGTTTAAGTGTGTGTCCCATTACATTATAGATCACAATGTTTGTAGTATAGTACAAGCTAATTTTATAAATTCTGCAATTTTTTAGGATTAAGACAGTTGCACACAACTGTATGTGTATGGTAAAATGTCACTTTATTAAACAAACATATTCTCCAATTTTCATAAGCTTGTTTGGGCATTTCTTAATTATTTTCAATATAAAATACTTTGGCCAGATTTTGTTGACCTTTTAGACTAAACCGTATCTTTATGATCTCCTCCTCCTCCTTCTCCTCCTCCTCCTCTTTTTTCTTCCTTAGATTCAAACAGTGACAAAGAAAGTCCTGGTGACCCCTCATTCAGAAGAAGCCAATGTCACCAGCGCCGTTGTCTCCGTGTTGAACGAGACTGTGACAGAGGCCCCTGAGGAAACTAAGATGGTTCTCAAGAAGGGGCTGGAGTTCAAGGACGGGATGAATGTCTTAGGTAGGCAAGCTGGTGGCCTGGGGTTCATCTTCCCGGGGGAGGTGCCTCTGTCCTCTCGATGAGGGTGGCCAACCTTTCCTGCTGCTCCTTCGCCAACGCTGGGCTCCCCAGCCTCCCTTGTCCCCTTCTCAGAAACTGTGAACTCTGTTGCCCTCTAGGTGGAGCAGGAGGCTCTCTCTGGGGAGCAGTGTGAAAGCCAAGGGGAACGGAGAACCAAGCAATTAAGGAAGAGGGAGGATAGAAGGGCAGAAGACAGAGAGCCTCAGAGGACTTCGTGGCTACAGGTCTGGGAGAGGAAAAGAGGAAAGGGCTGACATTTGTTGAGAACATCCCCTGACTCTCTACATGGTCTTGGCAAATTACCTTGTGTGACTTTCCATGATATTAAGTTACATATCCATTTCTCCATTTCTTGCATTTCTTAAGCAGTTTTTTGAGCTGTGCCTGCGCACCAGTACTTTGCTAAGCATGGCGTTTCCTGTTCCCAGCTCTCACCATCTGTAAACATGTAAAGCTACCCATACTGTAAAGCACTGAAATAAGGGCCGAAGGGGCTTTACATATTATCTTGTTTAGCTTTCTGGGATTCCAGTAAGCCCTTTCCCCCAGCCTAGAAACTTTAGCCTTCTGCCCAAGAGCCTATCTAATGCCAAACAGACTTGGGCTTGGAGCCTTGTGGGCCACTCCCTGATTACCTGACCTTAGGTGAGTTGCTCCACTTCTCTGAGCCTCAGTTGTGAAATACAGATGGGATTGGCATTGAGTTTGTAGATCATTGGGAGGATTCAGTGAGACTGTGCATGTAAAGCACACTAGTACTTCTCCTGTGCTCTATTCAGATGAAGTAAGACCATTAGTACAAGTGCTTGGTGAGCTGAGGAGCTCAATCGGAAAACAACCCTGCAGGGCATGACATTTCCCCCAGGTGAGCGATCCAGTTTGCTCACTTTACTCCCAGTCATCTCCCTTTAGGGGGTCTACTCCCCTCCAAACTCCACATCCACTACTAGAATGGTATCCCCAAGATAGGAAAGAGAAACAATTTTTTGTCCATAGAATGGGAGAAACGGGGAATCTGGGTTTCTAAGCAAGATCTTCCAAGCAAGATTTCTGAGGACTCAGGTGAGAGCTGTTTAGAAACAGCTGAGTTCAGTGGTCCTTTCCCTTTGTCATCTAGATCAGCTTCCTTGTCTCTTTGGTTGGGTTGCCAGATAAAATGCAAGGGGCCAGTTAAATTTAAGTTTTAGGTGAATAACAAATGACTTTTTAGTGTATTTCCCAAATACTACACTAGAAAATTGATTCGTTGTGAATCTGAAATTGAGGTTGTCATTGGGTGTCATATTTGTTTGTTCTGAAGGAAGCAGCCCTCTTCCTTATGCACCCAGATTGTAGAAGGAGGCAGAGGAAGCAAGAGTGTCCCATCACTGAGAAGCAGAAGTGGATTTTTATTTAGCCTTATGGGAAGCAGGTGGAGTAAGTGAGAGACAGAGGAAGGAGATAAGCTCCCTAGGTTACCAGGCAATGAAAGGTCAATAAACATTGTTGACAATCAAGAGGAGAAAGTGGGAAAGTTTCTATGAGAAAGTCTGGAGCTGAACTTTCAGGGGAGTCTTCTTTGTGTGTGGTTATTTTGGTACTGGATATGGAACCCACAGCCTTGCACTTGCTAGGCAAGCCCTCTACTGCTGAGCTACATCACATCCCCAGAAGGAGATTTTGCAAATATTCTCAGCATCTCTTTCTCCCACTGCCCGGATATCTGTGACCCTTCCAGAACTTTCCCGACTCTCCCTGTCTCTTCTGGAATGTCACAAATGAAGACCCAGCCCTCTTTTACAGTGTGGGATACTTTTTCACAGTATCCCCCACACTCTGAAGGAGGCTGCGGGTCTGAGGTAAAAGCAAAGCCTTTGCAGTGAATCAGTCCCAGCCTGGTCATTTTAGTGTTGGTAGATTCTAGGAAATCACATGACCTTTGGCTGTGCTGGGGAGTTTCAACACAACTTGCTACTCTTTCAATTCCAGTGACCAAGTAAGTGTAAGAGGGCTTTGTTCAAGTGGAACACCCCCACCCCAGGGAGTGATTTCAATTAAGCAGTGTGTACGAGGGAAACGACAAGCTGAATGTGGGTTTCTATCCAAGTGCAGATCAGGGCTCTGGGAAGTTAGAATTGTTGAGAAACTTCCCATTTACCAATCATGGCTGAAATAAGGTTCTTTCCATGATCTTCCAAGAGATGGTGGCCTTTTGTGTTTGGTTTTTCTGTCCTGCTCTTTGACTTTGGAAAGTCCCAAGGATTGAACACTGAAATAAATGAAGATGTAGTCCTGGCTCAGCCTCCCACAGAGATCTATTTCTCTCCTGAAAACCCCTCCAGAACCAGATCTTAACTCTAATCCCGACTGCTTAAATCAACTCCAGTCGTTCTTTTACAAATCTGTCTTCTGTACTCACAGATATGTCCGGGTCTGCTGACCCTGAGGAACACATCCTCATTCCAAGTCCTTGGGACTTAAGACGCTGAGCATTTTCTCTGAAATTTTTAAATGACATTAACGAAGTAATATTAGATATTTTCTGCCACAATAGTCAGATTTATTGTTTTTCCACCACACACCTAGCAAACTGTTCTCCATGGGCTTGTGTTCAGGGACAGCCTGAAGTTGATTTCGTACTGCAGTAGTAGTTCACTCTGACCAGGGTCTAATAGTCAGTAAGTCCTTGCCTTACTGAGCTAATAAGTCCCTTGTGAAGTCACTTGTCAAACTTTCTGACTATACGCTAAGAAGGGAGATGTTAAATACTACATACATGTATTCACAATCCAGAGTGCAAGGACCGATTCTCTGTGCTGAAGAGAGAATCCTAAAATGGGTAGTTACATTCTGGGTTGGTGTAGTGAGGTCAGCATTCAGTGACTAGGGGAAGGGTAAATCAGAGGTTCAGAGAGAAGGAGTTCCTCTCTAAGAGAATCAAATTATAATGCTACAGTTTATCTGACACAGGTCAAGACTCCAGGCTTAACTGGACATGATAGGAAACTGATTATAATATGGAGGGACTAAGAATTAGCCCGGCCAAACTGTGGCAGGGTAGGTGTGGGGAAGAGAATGCAGGGAGCGAGATGAAAAGATAGCTCGTGCTTCAAGGTCCAAGAAAAAGTCTGGTGGACAAGGAAAGTCTTATAGGCAAGAGTACAACAACATTGATTGATAATCCATATAAGTAGTCAGGATTGGGGCCCCCAAATAGGAAATAAAATGTCAGGATTAGGGAGAACATAGTAATTGTCAAACAGAAATCCTGCAATCTCTAGGCAGTACTGGGTAGATCTGTTAGCCACATAGCAAGCCCCAGTTTCTGGGTGGATCAGGGTGAGATGCTGAGGAGGATGGTGGAAAGCACTGACATGGTGGTAGGGAAGATTCTCCTGGAGAAAGAAAAGCCAGCTCTACTCTTAGAGGAACTAAACGGTGATGAGGAACAGCTAACACAGAAATAAGAAGACCGAAGATAAAGTGTTGTACTTGGTCCAGCACCGAGTGCAATTTATCGCTGATATCAAGGGTAAGAACAGAGCTCCTCCAATCACCTGGGGGGGCGTACAATTTACCCTGGAGTGGTACGGGGTTCAACCAGGGTGAAGGGAGGACAGAGCTGGGAGGGTAAGAAGGGGCAAAATCTGACACTGAAATATGTTCTGCCTTTATAATCCAGAGAGAGGGAGAGAGAGGGGGACAGGCATTCTAACCATTTTAACTGTGAAATGAATATGAATTATGGCAATTTTGAATATAAATAACAGGCTACATTTTTTAAAAGCTAGATAAATTGGACTTTCCCAAACTTATTTTGGATTTCTTAATTGCTTTTCACTTTATTTTTCGTACCAGGGATTGAACTCGGGTCCTTGCGCTTGCAAGGCAGGCCACCGAACCGCTGAACTAAATCCCTGACCCCTTCACTTTATTTTTCAACATTTCTCCTCCTCCTTTCATTAGGTGTGCAGCAACAGAAAAATAACTTCACATTTAGGGATTTCCCAGAGTGAAACATACCAGCCATATATTAATTCAAGACCACACCAAAATAATTTAGACATCACCTTAGCGAAGACTTTATTGGCTAATTGGTCTCTGCTGTTCCAATATTGGCTCCAAAGTTGGTATGATAATCCCCAAGTCCCAACAAGCCTTTCTTTGTCAGTGTGTAATGAAGGAATCTGTTCACACACGATCTCACAAGATTTCACAATTGAAGTAAACAAGAGAACACCTTTTAGTTTGGAAAGAGATTGAACTAATTTTCTTCAAAGAACTACACTTGCAGTTTAATTTGCTCATGTAAAACATGTTAAGGAAAGCCACAGATATCCAAGGGGAAAGCACTTTCAGTGTGAAATACAATGCTTTTGTCTTTTAATTCCTAATTTATAGGCTAATTTAGCAGTGACACGTGAACTGCTCCTCGAGTGAAAAATGTCAGAGAACCAGGGAAAAGAAAACATACTTTATAATTTGTCTTTCTGTGTGATGTGATTCACCCAACAGGTCTGATTGGGTTTTTCATTGCCTTTGGCATCGCTATGGGGAAGATGGGTGAGCAGGCCAAGCTAATGGTGGAGTTCTTCAACATTCTCAATGAAATTGTAATGAAGTTAGTGATCATGATCATGTGGTGAGTGCTTTTGTTCTTACTTCCTATTAATTGGGTAAGAGATAACCTTGAGGTCCCCAAAGGATACTGGAGCCCTCCCAGAAGGAGAGAGTGAGTGTGAGATGTCAAATGGCTCTGCAGAAAAAAGTTGAGAAAGGGATGGAAATCTCCTTTTTTTTTTAGTTTCCCCTAGAATAGGTGTTAGCAAACGCTGACCATTAGGCCACAGATGATGTGTGACATACTTATTTGTATTTGCTATGAGTAGAGAATGGATTTTGTTGTTTTACATGTCTGTCTTAGCTCAGGCTGCTACAATTAAGTACCGTGCATTGATTGGGTGGTTTGTATAGAGCAGACTTTGTTTCTTGTAGCTCTGAAGGTTGAAAGTCTGAGATCAGGTGCTAGTGTGGTCACGTTCCGCTGAGGGGCCTCTTCTGAGGGGATATAGGTGACTAACTTCTCTTAGTGTCCTCACATGGTAGAAAGAGAATAAGACAGATCTCTGGGAACTTTTTAGTAAGGGCATTGTTTTAGTCCATTTCAGGCCTTATAACAAAAGACCTTAGTCTGAGTAAATTGTACTTAGTAGAAGTTTAGTGCTTGCAGTTCTGTAGGCTAGGAAATCCAAAATCAGCTTCCTTGGCAATGCTAGATGTCTGAATACAAAAGTAACTGGATTCCCGAATTTAATTCTTTCCTCCATTCTGGTTGCAAATCAAATTGGACGAGAAGTGAATCAAATTCAATGGTTAGGTTTAATGTTGACCTTATGGGGAAATTTAACTCCATTCTCATCCAATCCAGTTTGCAACCAGAATTGTGGCCAGAACTGAGTTTGTGAACTGAAGCACCACTGTATTTTGTTTGTGTGAAGATTTCAGGTGACATGGTCATGCTGTACAAAATATCCTTTAAGTGCTTCAGATCCGTACATGCCTACTGAGAGTTTAATAAATAATAATACATAAAATAGAATATGCTTCTTTAAGCAACAGGATCTACCCTTGTTTCCTAGAATTTCTTGCAGAATGTATATCCCTGCTCTGAAAATAATGCTAATGATGTGCATAATGTATGCAGATTTCTTCCTTGGTCCACACCTGTATCGTTGCTACTGAGCCAAACCTTAGGCAAGAAATCGTCCAGAAATCTGATGTGACTGTGGGATAAAGTGTAGCCTCCCTTCTCCCCAAGGCTGGAGGGTGGTGTGCATGAAGAGTTTCCCATGCTTTGGAATCTGAACTCCTAAAGTTTAGCCTCATCCCCCAGGGATGAACAGACATTGTGAAGCAGGAATGAGGCCTCTGGAAGGATTCCCGACAGCTGTTGAGTTACCTAGGTGAGGCAGAAACAGTCAGGAGGGTGTTAATGACAGGAGATGCCTGATTCTTCACATTCCTTTCATTCTTTAGCTGCCTCTCATTCAATGACGATGTGTATGATGTTCTGTATAAAAAAAGCCAAACACTCTTTGACTGCTCAAAGCTGAAACAATCAGGGTTTTTTTGTTTTTTGTTTTGTTTTTGTATTCCTGTCTATGTAGAAGTAAGAATAGCAATAACAGTAAAATTTAACATTGAGAAGATAATAGCTATTAAGTCGTAACCTGGAATTGTTAAATTCTGATATATATTCAATACCACTGCTATGACTACATGTGGATTAGCCCATTTATTACTGAGGAAATATTGTTATTAAATCATATATAAGATTTACTAAATTCCTGCTATATTCTTAATATTATCCTAGATATTTTACATGAATTCAATCACTTTTTCATCACAGTGTTACCTAACAAAAATAGGCACTTTTGTTGGTCTGTTTTCCAGATGAGAGGACAGAGAGGTTGGCCTGCCCTAGGCTGTAGAGCCGTGCAGAAGGAGCATCTAACTCAGTTTCTTTCTGACTTCAGGTTGGGCAGAATTCAGGATTCTCTTGTAACAAGCTGTGTGACCTTGGCAGAGTAGACCCATTCGAAACCCCAATATCCTGATCCTTAAAATGAGATGATTGTAAGGCCAGGGATTTGGCTCAGTGGTTCCAGCGCCTGCCTCACAAGTGCATCGACCTGAGTTCGATCCCCAGTACCCCCCCCAAAAAAAATGAGATGATTGTAGAATCCAATGTTGTTGCAAGAAGCAATTTAGATTGTTAATCATAATCATGGAGCATTTTCTTTGTGTTGGGAAATCTCTTGACATTTTTGTGAATTGGCATTCCTGGGGGCTGCCTTCCTAATACCATTATTATCATCAGTTCAGTCCATATTCTCTGCATCTCTATGTTTGTGACTTCTTTAAGAAGCTTGAAAAGCCCTTAATTTTGGAGTGGTTTTTCATATCCTCATTTTTTTTCAAAGTTCTTTTACAATTTTAGTTGTGGAATCTGAAAAACTTAAATAGAAAGTAAAACTTTTCATAATCTCTCACTATGAAAACACAAAGTAAGAAATAAAATCTTTACCCACTCTTCAAAATATTGCTACCAGCTTATCACCACCCACCTATCCACACTGGCAAAGAAGAAGTTGTTATTTAGTGACACTGATCATCACCAAGAGTGAGAGGGATTCTGGCTAAACAGGGTGCTAGCTGGAGACAGCCACCATGACCAGATAGCATCTGGTGGATGGCTGAGGATGAGGAAGTTGATTAAATATGGTGGGTCATCAAATTGAGGCTGGGGATTCTCGTTAAACTGACTCAGCAGGGTTCTTTGCTAAAAACTAGGTTTTATAAGAAAGTGTACAGGTGGACCCAGAAGGTTGACAAATCTGATTAAAGTTTGGTCAAACAAAGAATCTTTATCAAGCGAGCTACTCTTTTTTTCAATAAATATTCTGATTTGGGCCAATAATGATTGTAGACACTGGTTATATAATGCTGAATAAGACAGAGTTCCTGCCTTATCCATGCAAATTATATTCTAGTGAAAAGAGAGGGAAAACTAAAAGGAAACTGTTACAGCTTAATTATGAAGTATCCCCCCAAAGTCTCATGTCCTATGGGCTTGATCCTCAAGGCAGCAGTGTCCAGGGGTGATAGGCTCATGAGGGCTTTAACTTCATCAAGGCAGTTAACCCACAGATGAGATCATAACCTGATGGCATCATTGGGAGGTAATAGAAACAGACCTATTGAAGGAAGTGGGTCACAGGGCCATGACCTTGGGGACTCTATCCATTTTCTGGTCCTTCTTCTCTGACTCTCTCTCTCTCCCTCTCTCTCTGCTCCCTGGATGCCATGAGGTGACCAGCTTTTCCCTGCCACATTCTTCTGCCGCAATGTTTTTGCCTTGGAGCCTCCTGCCCCAAACATGATCTGAAACCGTGGGTCCAAAAAAAATCTCTCCTCCCTTACATTGATTTTTCTCAAGTATTTGGTCACAGTGATAAAAAGCTGGCTAACCAGAAATACAGAGGAATTCAGATAGCGTTAAGTGCTGCAGAGATGATAAAACGGGGCTGTGAGACAGAGTGCTGGGTGTGTGTGTGTGTGGAGGGGGTGATGGCAGTGAGGGACAGATAGGGCTGTGTGGGAAGGCGACAGCAGGAAGACCTGCAGAGTGGGCGACAGACAGCTTGTTGAAGAACTGAGGGGAGAGAATATTCCCAGGGGAGGAAGTAGAGCCTTCTGAGGATCAGAACAAAGGGCTGATTGGCCAGAGTGTGGTTGGGTTGGCTGGAGAGATAGGCAATTCTTGAGTTCCTTGATTTAACTGTACTCCACGTGTCTGTCCTACCATCTTGTGCCAAGCCTTAACTTCAAAGGTCTTAAGTAAAGTGCAAATGCCGTAAATGGCTTCCAGTAGCTAATCTGCATCTCATCATCTGGAGATGAGATTTTTGTTCCATTGGTTTCCAAGTACATGGGTTACCTGAGAGCATATTTAAAGTATGTTCTAAAGCCAGCCCTAAGTGGTGAGCCCAGTGGAATCCCATTATTAACAGACAGCCAGGGTGATTCTGATGCTGCCGGTCCCTGAGTAAACACATGGACTGAGTTCTGTGTATGTTGAGTACTGTAGATGACTTTGTGTTTGTAGAATAAAGTGTAGTGTGTTGGTGTGTGTGTGTGTGTGTGTGAGAGAGAGAGAGAGAGAGAGAGAGAGAGAGAGAGAGAGAGAGAGA